GGGATTGGCCTAGGGGAATTTTTAGTGGGGTTTTAAGAGAAATTTTAATTATATAGGCCATAGTAAATATTTCTTTTTAATTAGGTTTTAAATTGGGTATTTATTGTTGTATCTGTTTTATAAGGCTGTCAGCCGCCCTGAGTCCGTAAGGAGAAGGGCGGGATAAAAATTGAATAAATAAATAAATAAATAAATAAATGTGCAAGGAGGCGTTTTCTCTCCCATGCTTATTAGTGACTTTTTTTTCGGAGCATCGTCGCCCTAACCATGCTGGCAGGATCATTGAGCAGAAAACAAGGAAGTGGGAGCTTAACATGGAGGGCAAGATCATATGTATGAGCGTTACCAAACGCTAACATTGTTTAATGAGATACTGCTTTATTCTATTTCACGGAATGTATACACTCCTTGTTTCATTTCGGCTATTCGTGTTTATACATGCAGTATGATGTGCATGAAGCGTGATTTTGCTTCCTGCCTTGCTGATGGAACCGGTTGTTTTGAAACTGTGTATGCCCAATGCATCTCTGTCATTAATACGATCCCTTTTTTTTTCTTAAACCTCAACTTTTATGTATAACCTGAATAATTGCTGCTGGAGGAAGGGAATAATTTGGATTTCTTTTTAATCTTTGTTTTGTGTAGTACGAAATCTCTAGATGTAATTTTTTGGGAAGACAAAATGTTACATTTCAGACTGATTCTGAAGGCGATGATGTATTTTGGTCCTTTTCCTATCGATAGCTTTTCTCTGAGGTTTTGAAAGAGGGCAGGAATTTAATAGCATTATTAAGTAATGGTGTCAAACTAATCTACCTATTAAGGAAGAACATTTTTTAAGCATAACACGAATTTGCTAATTGCTTTCCCCCTCCCAAGAGTTGCATGTCCCTATCATCCCAGAGGGTTGGGTGTCTCTGGTGTGAAGAAAAAAAAAGATTTATTACACTGGAATGTATAGAAATGCTTTTTTTTAGGCATGTTTAGTTTAGAGATTAGAGGAAGAGCTGTATTAAGAGGCTAGTCTCATTTCTTCAAAGGGCTACCAAATGCCTTCAAGCAGAATGTGAGTGTAGTAGCACTTTGTCATCTATATTGTTTAGCAACTGATACTGAGAGGTATTTAATGCTGGAAAAGTTTGGTCATATTGATTTATATCAGTCAGGAAGACTAATTAAATCATAGTCAATATGATTCTGTTGTTGATCATGATTTCTACTAAAGCTCTTCTGCTTTGTTACTACCTATACTTCAGTCCTTATGAATAGATGCAACTTTTATGTTTAGAAACAGGTATATGTTATATATTATAAATGCATATTTCTGATTTTCTTGATTAATTTTTCATTAAAATTGTTTTTAGCACTAAACCAGATATATATCAGACAGCTGACTGATGTGCATATTTTCTCTTGGTAATGGGTAATAAAAATAGGTTGTAGTCAGTATGACTGAATGTGCTAGGAACAATAAAAAGTATGTTGGAAAACTAAAGATGTGATTTAAGAAACATGATAAAGATTATGAATGTGTTTCTAAAATTGCATGCAAAACTAGTTGGACTTGTTTGGGTACATACTTATATAAATGTGTAGAAGTACATATGCATGCATGTGCATAATTTTAGCTAAGTACTTTAATGAAAACAATGAGCTTTATTTAAAACACCATGTACAGTGTATTCATTTAATAATTCAAATTGATATAAATGCATTAAAATATAGTGCAAAATATGTTAAAAACATAAAAATTCTTGAAAACACGAAGGACTATCGCAATGTATCTGTTTCACTATCTCTGGCTAAAAATAGAAGCAGGGTAACTTCAATGATTATATTTGTTCTATTTTTTGAACAATAAACATGAAAACACTATTTTTTTCTTTTTTTAATTTTTCATAATTTAGCAAGAAGGTTCTCTGTGTGCCCAGCACTGTTTGAATAACTTACTGCAAGGAGAGTATTTCAGTCCTGTGGAACTGTCTTCTATTGCACAGCAGTTAGATGAAGAAGAGAGAATAAGAATGGCAGAGGGTGGAGTTTCTAGCGAAGAATATAGAATATTTTTACAGGTAACAGCTCTTCAGGTGTATTTACATTTATTTGTCAGCTTTTGTTCTATATATTTTCTTACTGAAAGAGTTTATATTGAAGCTGAATTTCATAATGATGAAATGTAAAGTTATCTGTTCTCCTTCCTAGAATAGCATCCTCAAGATATATTAGAATTACTGTCAATTTCTCAGTGAAGTTCCTGTTTAATATTTTTAAAGACTTTTTTCAGGTACAGAATTTATTTTGTCCCAAACTGCTTTTAAATTGATGTCCACAAATGAGTATATAAAGAGCAAAATGAGAAAGGCTACTATACTGACCACTAGGTTCTTGTATTTGCCTGGTGTTGTCTGTCTGCATAGTTTATCTGTTGTTTCTTATTGACATAACCTGTAAATAAATCCCAGAATGTCACACTTGTTCAGAATGGTTCATTAAAAGTATTTTTAGAGAGAGTAAAGTTTTAGATTTACTAAGAGTAACTGAATTTATTCTCTACATATGATTTTCCAAAAGTTTCTGTAGCACATAAATTAATCTTCTTTCCTTTGCAT